GGGGCAGGCACCGCTGAGCTCATGGCAGCGGCCCTGGAAGTTCTCCTGCTCGAAGATGGCGATCTGGAAGACAGCAGGGGCCTCAGAGCAGGGCACGCTGCCCCTGGCACCGCGGGGGGCACACGCTGTCCCCAGCCACCAGCTCAGCACGGCCCCACATCTGCTGTAGCCCAGACCTCATGCTGCCCCCCAAAAGCTGCACTTTAGTCACCTCTTAAGAGCCTGCTAACATGAACCAACGTTTCCACCCCTCTGAGCATGCAGCTCTCTCTCCTGGATGTCTGCGAGTCCCTGCCGGTGCCAGCCCAGTGCCCTGGTGCTGCTCGCAGAGGGATGCCTGCGCTCACACCAGGCTTCAAAGAGCTGAGCAGCCCAGGCTCTGGCTCGAGCATCGCAGCTGCCGGTGGGACACGGTGCGCAGGGCACCCAGCACATGCAGGGGAGGCACCAGGGCAGCCCCTGGGGCCAAGCGCTGCCAGCTCAGCACAGATTTCACGGGTCAGTGGGGTGGCGGGAGGCAGATCTGCTGTGTCTGCAGGGGTGGCGGGAGATTAGGAGTTGATCCATTCCCACCCGCTCTGCCTGCACCGGGGCTGTGGGATGCCAGCAAAATCCCGTGCGTCTCCCACCCTGCTCCCCAACCCCTCATCCCTCTGCAAATGGCTCAGCACTGCAGCTGGCCATGCTCGGCACCAGCCAGCAGTGCTGCAGGGTGCTGGCAAGGGGCTGCATCATGGCAGCTCAGCTGCTCCCCAGGGGTGTCCCGGGGGGACGATTTGGGCACTCAGTAAGGCTGAGGGTGCCCTGGCCCCACTGAAGTGCTGAGAAGTCACACACTGACCTTGGAGCTGGCTTGCTGCTGCTTGGAGGCTGGCATTTGGTGCTCGGAAGCCATCATAAGCTGGGTTGTCCGCTGCCTTGGGAGGAAAACTCAGAAGGTTACAGTTGCCACCTAGGATGCACCTGGGACTGCACTCACAGCCCTGTGTCCGTGCCCACCGTCCATACCCCACAGCCTGCCCGGCGCTCGGCCGCTGCCTGCTCCTTGCTGCTGAGTTGCACAGAAAGGGGGGAAGGGGTGCCAGGGCTGGGGCTCGCGGCAGGGCGGGAGCAGACTGGGTTCGCCAGGGCCAGGCCCACTCAGGGCTGCTCGGCACCACAAACCTCCCCAGGCTCATGGAGGAGCCCAGGCGATGGTCCCAGAGCAGCATCACCCATGATGGGACCTGCAGAGGGTCTCCAGCCCAGAGCAAGGGGACCCATGAGCTCAGGGCATTCCCAAGTCATTCCCAGGGGAGCTGAGCCCCTGCGGCCGAGGCTTTTCCCGCTGTCCCTGCCCAGCAAGTGACAGTCATGGAGTCCCTGTCCCATGCGGGTGCCTGCACGGGGTGACTGGGGAGAAGCACCAGGGCTCCCACCGCTCGCCCCAGTCATGCACATGCGTGTGTGCCTGTGTGCATGCCTGCGTGTGCAGGGTTGCTGGTGCCAAGCCCTCCCGGCTCTGCCTGGCACAGCCACCCCTAAAAAGGACCCTCGTCCTCAAGCCCAGTGGGACCTCCCATGTCTGAGCAGGCTCCAGACCAGGTGAAAACGGCTCATTCCCGATAAAACAAAAACCAAGCCACGGCCAGGTAGCAATAAACCTGAGCCGGCTACCCGGTTTGGGCTGCAGGGACAGGACCGTCCCCGCGGCTCACCCCCTGCCTGCCCACATCCCACTGCCACCTCCGTGCCTCTGCCTGGTGCTGCAGGAGGGAGCTCCGGTGCCGGGGGTCGGGAGGAGGCAACAACAAAAAAAGAGGACAATAAATAGAAAAGTCTTACCAGTTATACCAGTACCCGCTTGAGCCAGTGCAGGGCTGGGGCCGAGAGGTGGAATTTATACCGAGCTGCAGAAGAATGGTGCCAAAACTATTTACAAAATAGTTAAAGCATGATTCAAAGCGAGAATGCTGGATTAAAACCCAATGAAAACCAAGGTCAGCTGATCGGCCACAGCCTTTGTCTCCCCAAACACCAAGTCGGGGAGTTATTTCATTAGCTTTCACATTCGAGTCGCCCGCTTTGTTGGGTTTGTTGGCAAGGAGATTTGGAGTTTGCATGCATCAGCCGAATGCATGCCAAGACCCAGACCGGCCCTTGCAAACAAAGCACCCGCCAGCCCTGCTTCAGGAGTTTTGGAGCCAGAGACTTTATCCCTCCAACAAACTGGCGGGCCGCCCGCCGCTGGAACCGCCAAAAACTGCTGAAGTTGGCTCTTTCCATGCGTGACAAAATGAGCCTTCAAATAACTGGTAAACGTCTGGTTTGCCCGTCTGCATCCCCAGAAAGGGAGCGCCCGTGCCCCGCAGCCGATGCCAGTGCTGCCGCAGAGGGACCCTGTGAGGCTCCTGGGCCTGGGAGCACCTCGGAAGCCCCTTCCCGCTGCCGGCTCCCATGGGCGACCTGAGGCTTCGGGGATGGGCAGGGGCAGGATCTGGTCCTGGTGGCACGATGCTGTGGGGCAGCAGCCTCAGCCTGAGCATGGGGGCACGCGGGTGCCAGGCGTCGGGCTCCTCCTCCGTTATCCCCCACCCTTTTGGGGTCCCTGAGAAGCATCCCAGCCCCTCGGGGCAGCAGGAACAACAGCAGGGAGGCCCCTTCATCACACCAGGACAAAGCCAAGGTCAGCGGCGGGGGCTCACAGCCTGGGACGTGGCCCCACAGCCGGGCTGTGCCTGGCACAGGCAGCACCCGCACAGGCAGCACCCACCTGGGCATGAGCTGAGGGTTACGGGCAGCAGCAAAACCCCTTCACTGGCATCTTGCTGCCGGCTGACCTGGGGAGACAGGTCAGGGCTGTGGGCTGATTTTAGCTGCAGCAAAGTGAGTTAAAGTGAGTTTCCCTGGGGCGGGGGGGGGCGGCGACAAGACAGCTATCAGATTCCCTGGGCGCTGTGCAGCACCCACAGCCCCCTCTCACCCCCAGAAGAGCGGGACCCCCCTTGTCACCCCAGCAAGTGTCACACAGCGTTAACATGGCCCAGATCAGCTCTTTTCTGCATGCAACATTTCATGGGGGTCCCGCAGCAGATGTGCCGCCAGCCCCAGCAACATGCTGCAGCCCCTCCAATGGCACCTCCAGACCCTCCCCCAGCCCCGGTGCCCAGGATGGCCACACGCAAGGTCGCCTCCACCAGGGTATTGCTGTCGGAGCCTGCCCTGGCAGTGACATGTGGAGGGGTCGGTCCCCATGGCCTGCACCTGCCCCGGCTGTGGGTGACGGGGCCTTGTGGGGCTGCAGGGGCCACAGGCGACTGTGCGGCTCTGCAAGAAATCACGCCATGCCACAGACAGGTTTTGGCAGGTCAGGTTTGTGAGCAAGTGTCTAAAACGTTCCCAGCCCTGCCACCATCCTTCTCCATTCCCTGTGCCTCCAGCTGTGGTACCGCAGAGGGATCCAGCCGCTGCCCTCCCCATCTTCCTGGGCTAATTCATAGGGGACCCCGGCCCAGGACCCCTGGCTGCTGCCCAGGACATCCTGGCCCCTTGTGCACCCAAGCAAGTGACAGAGACGGTGCTGGGCACAGCTCCTGCCAGGCTGCGATTCCCTCCCCTTGGCTCTGTCAGGCCAGTTTTAGCTCATCTCAGCCATGGGCAGTGGTAATGCCGCAGGCAGCCGCAGCCGCGCAGAGCCCCAGCAGCCCCATGGGCTGTCCTGGAAGCAGCTTTTGCCACTCGGGGCCATGCAATCTCCTTTAGTAGCTGCAAACCTGGGCCTAAAAAGAAAAGCTCTGGAGCAGCTGTTCAGTGACCGGCATGAAGCACCCAGGCAGCCTCGAGTCCATCTCCCGTCTCTGCCACCAGCTCCGGGTGGTCCCCGAGCGCAGCCGCTGTGCCCCCACGGCAGGGCCCTGCCTGCGCTCTGCACCTCTGCCTGCACGGCTGAGCTTGCTCAATGCTGGGATGCTCAGCTCCCTGACGGCATCCTTGGGGCACGTGGCCCAGAGGCACCTCTAACCCCTGCCTTTGCAACCAAAACAGCTGCCCCACGTGTCAGAGAGATCATCCCCAGGGAGCAGCAACCCCGGGTGCTGTGGGAAGCTTCCTCAGGGCCAGACTGGGGGCCCTGCAGGGTGCTGGGGCTGGGCACAGCCCTAACCCCGCGGGGTGAGTCCCCCTTTGGGGTGCACAAGGCCTGGCACTGCCCAGGGACGGCCATTCTCTACATCCCCGCTGCCACCGGGACCACCCCAACCTCACCGCCTCTGAGGCTGCCCGTGTGCCCCAGGACCCTCCAGCCACTGCCATGCCCTTTGGGCTGGACGCCCTCCTGCAGCAGAGCAGGCAGGGCTGAGGGAAGTGGGGAAGGAGCCACGCGCGGAGCTCCCCCAGTCCAGGGAGATGCTTTGAGAAGGGGCAGTCACGGGAAAAACCCTCGGCAAGTGCCCCAAGACCACCCCCCGGGGCTGGGCTGGCCCCGGTGCAGGGCTCGCCTCTGCGTCGCTCCACACACCGGCCATGGTAGCACCGCACCACGGTACCATCGGGGGTTATTTTTGGAAAGCTGCAGCCTTTATGTAACACTGCAAATACTCGCTCTTTCC